CCTCCTCCTTCAGACCTCTGCTGCCATCCCTGACCAAGACAGTGGCAAGAAAGCCTGACTCTGCTTCCACCCCAGCCCTCTGGACAGTCCTCTTCCACCCAAGCCAGAAAGGCTTTGAGAAACAGAGCGAGATGGCGCTGCCCTCTGGCCTCCCACCTCACAGAGTGTGAGCCAGGGTCCTCCTGTCAGCCTTCCGCCTCCCACCCTTCCTGTCTTGGTCTGTCCCCCACCACCATCTCCATCGCTCACTCCCTGCCACTCCAGCCATATGGACCATCCAACTGCCCCTTGGACGCACCTCCCCACCCCCTGACCTCTGTGGCCTCTGCCTCTGTTTTCTCTCTCCCTGGTGGTTTCTTCCCAGAGCTCCCCGTGGTCTCATTGCACACTCCTGTGGGTCTCTGCACAAATGCTATAATCATCTCTTTGATTACCTCTGTAGAACTGCACACACATGTGCACACACACCCCACCTGTACACCCTGTCACTCTCTCCTGCTCCAAGCAAGGCAAGGCTGAGAAATGGGCACAGACCAGAGGAGACTGGGTGACTTGAACAAATGAGACAAGTGATGTGAGCTCCTGGATGGGACCCTAACAGAAAGAGGATATTTACGGTAAACTGTCACATGAAATTATACAGCCACTAAACTAACAAAGCAAACAAATGCTTTGCAGCTTGACCTCAGGACGGCAAACTGAAAAGCAGAAAGGCCTCCATAAGCCAGAGTTGATTGCTTTGAAGCCCTCCCACTTACATCTGAAGGCCTGTTGTTTGGGTTTTGTGTGAGGTTAGGCTCATACCCCGCTCTCTCCCTTTAGCTCTGTCTTGGGCCAATTCCTGGCTCTATCCAGCTGTTTCCATAACTGTCTTCCTGAAGCTGGGCCCAGAACCGTAAATGAGCTCGCTGCTGCTCCTCCAGCCTGAAGAGCCTGACTAGCCTTACGTGAGACTCTGGGCATTCCCACAGCTGATCTGCATTGCACACTGTGCTCAAGCTTCATAAGATCATGAAGCTTCTGTCTGCTTCCTTCTGCCAGAACATGCCTGATATCCACACAAAATGCCTGACAGCAAAAGTGGGAAAATAGGAACTTAAAATGAATGGATGTCCTCAAAGCCATGCAGAGGTCCGCCTGCACGCTGGCGCCAGTGCTGCCCAGGGCTGCCGGCCGCTCCTCTGGCACGCGTGGCTGAGGATGCCATGAGCTCCCGTGAGGCGGGCATACCTGCACCTCATGCCTCATTTGCAGCTGTAATCACACCCGGGGCCTGAACTGCAGATGCCTCTGGCCGGCCCATCAGGGAGTCTGCAGGCACAGGGGAGGTGATATGACAGGCCAAGACCCGGAGTAGCAGAAGGAAAGCGGCCAAAGCCGGAGGCTCAGGGAGGAGCGAGACTCAGATGGAAAGGAACTCTGTCAGTAGTCACAGGTGTGAGGTGAGGGATTTAGTCACAGTTCAGGAATTCTGAAACTTAATCAGATGAGGAGAAGGATCCTTTTCCTGCTGAAGCCTCCTTCACAAGTCTGGTCACATCAGCTTTTCGGTGAAGTTTGCGTGATCGGGCACTCAAGGCTTCCTGCCTCTCTCATCTCCTTATCTCGTGGGTGACATCAGCTCCAACCTCCTGCCTCTCTCGGTCCTGCGGGGATCAGGGCTCCACCCGGATGGTTTCTGCATTCACTGCTCCGACCTGCTCTCACGTGACCCCAACACTCTGTGCCTCCAGGTCCCTTCTGCTGTGGGATGAGCTTTCCGAGAGCCTGACCTGACAGGCACTCCCTGCCTGCAGAATGCTTGGTTCTAGGTGAAGGCGCAGCCATTGGCACAGTCCCTGGATTCTCCTCTTGGCCTCGACTCAGCATCCTGTGGCCTTGTGGTCAGGGTGGGCAGCTCTGCATTTCTGGCACCTCCAGCCCGTCCCCGCCATGCCTCTCCCGAAGTGGGCTGACTCCACCTGTTACCTGAGCCCCCAGGGGCCACCTCCAAGGGCCTTCCAGGGCACACGGGCAGGCAGCTGGCCAGGCTCTGTGTTGGATTCTCTGGAGCAAGCACCAATGTTTTTATTCTCAATTTGTGTTCTTCTTATGGTGACCTTCTGGAAGGGCAGGGGCCACCTGTGGGATGCCTGGCATCAGGAGTTGCTCATGACGTCGTTGCAAACAAGCAAGTGCGAGGCAAGAGCCTGTGAGCAGGTTAGCCAGGATGACCACTTCTACACGGCTCCTGACTGCACTGCTTCCAACACCTCCACAGCCCTGGCTCCCAAGAAAAGGCATCTCCCTGCTGACGGGGCTGGGTACCGTGAGGCCGTGGCTGAAGTGTCAAGGAGCCCAGTGGTGGCATCTGGCCACTGTGGTGCGGCATGGTCTGCGGCAGGGGCAGGTACTGGGACTAGACCAGGAAAAGACAATAATGGAATGTTGGATCAAACAGGTACTTTTAGTGTAGAACTTGTGCCTTTAATTTGCTAGAGACACGGGTGTCTAAGGGCTGGGCATTGTGTGCTTCTTAAAACATCATCTGATCATGCAGCCTCAGGACACTGGAAGCTACTCTGGGAAAAAGCACACAGCTGGATGTCTGCTGAGTGATGGACAAAGGGCCTGGGAAAAAGCATTCGCTTATGACTGTATTCGTCAGGGTCACCCTAAAACACGCTAATACCAGATCAAATGCTGTGTTTCTGGGAAAAAAAAAATGAGAAGAAAAAGACATCTTTAAGGAATCAAAACGTTTATTCAGAATAAGCGTTATGTGCCGAAGGTAGTGCCTTTATAAAGGCAAAGGCCGAGTAATTGTGAATGCTACCAGAAAATAATTACAAAAATATTTTGCCATATATTAACATGAAACTACAATCACTGGCTGTAAAATATAGTCATACGTAATCAAGCTGGAAAAGAAAAGTGAAATCTCCAGGTCATCTGCCCAGGTGGCAGGAAATCGAAGGCCCCGAGAACGCAAGTGCTGCTGTGCCGCCAGGCCCAGGCGACCAGCGACGGGCAGACTCACCAGCCTGCACCACCGTGACCAGGGCTGCACACAAGACAGCCAGCTTAGGATCTGGCTGCTCCTCAGTGTCACAGAGGGCTTGATGAAGAGCTCCCAGTGTTCCCAAACGGGCCTCTAATGAGGAGCAGGCTGCATTACAGGAAATTCACTGGGGCTTCACCTGACTCTTCAACTTGGCAAGTCTCATGAGGCACTCACCCCTCCACTGCCTCCTGGGCAGCTAAGTGCTCTGTCATTTAGGACCTTCACGCACATGTCCTAAGTAGAAGGAGAAGTGGTATGACCAGTAAAGAGGAAATAATTTACCAGGAGGTGGTAGCATGTTTTGAGTTATGCAACTGTGCAGAAACTGCGCCAAAGACAAAAGCACCACACATCTACAGCCATCTGACTTGACAAACCTTGAGAGAAATAAGAAATGGGGAAAGGATTCTCATTTAATAAAATGGTGCTGGGAAAATTGGCTAGCCACAAGTAGAAAGCTGAAACTGGATCCTTTCTTACTCCTTATACGAAAATTAATCGGCATGGATTAGAGACTTAAATGTTAGACCTAATAATTACAAAAATCCTAGAGGAAAACCTATAGGTAGTACCATTCAGACATGGCATGGGCAAAGACTCACAGTTCAAAACACCAAAAGCAACGGGGCAGCAAAAGCCAAAATTGACAAATGGGATTCATTAAACTAAAGAGCTTCTGCACAGCAAAAGAAACTACCATCAGAGCATGAAACCTACAGAATGGGAGAAAATTTTTGCAATCTACTCCATCTGACAAAGGGCTAATATCCAGAACCTACAAAGAACTCCAACAAATTTACAAGAAAAACACAAACAACCCCATCAAAAAGTGGGCAAAGGATATGAACAGACATTTCTAAAAAGAAGACATTCATACAGCCAACAGACACATGAAAAAACGCTCACTAATACTGCCATCAGAGAAATGTAAATCAAAAACCACAATGAGATACCATCTCACACCAGTTAGAATGGCTATCATTCAAAAGTCAGGAAACAACAGGTGCTGGAGAGGATGTGGAGAAATAGGAACACTTTACACTGTTGGGGTGGGATTGTAAATTAGTTCAAACCATTATGGAAATGCTAGCATGGCGATTCCTCAAGGATCTAGAATCAGATGTACCATATGACCTGAAGCCATCCCATTACTGGGTATATATCCAAAGGATTGCAAATTATGCTGCTATAAAGACATGTACACGCATGTTTATTGCAGACTATTTCACAATATAAGACTTGAATCAACTCCAAATGTCCATCAGACATAGATTGATTAAGAAAATGTGGCACATATACACCCATGGAATACTATGCAGCCATAAAAAAGGATGAGTTTGTGTCCTTTGTAGGGACATGGATGCAGCTGGAAACCATCATCTTTAGCAACTATCACAAGAACAGAAAACTAACACCGCATAAGCCCCACCAGGTGGGAACTGAACAAATGAGATCACTTGGACTCGGGAAGGGGAACATCACACACCGGGGCCTATCATGGGGAGGGGGGAGGGGGGAGGGATTGCATTGGGAGTTATACCTGATGTAAATGACGAGTTGATGGGTGCAGCACACCAACATGGCACAAGTATACATATGTAACAAACCTGCACGTTATGCACATGTACCCTACAACTTAAAGTATAATAATAATAAATAAATTAAAAAAAATAAATAAAAGACAAAAGCAGTAAACCCTCAATGAACGGCAGCTTTCCAAATCTTGAAAGACCTCAGTCCCTCAGAGAGAAGTCACAGTGAGCTACCAGTTCACTGGTCACCCTGTCCTTAAGGTGTCCTGGTGACGTGATGGAAGCATGAACAAAGTTATGAATGAGGAAACACCGAGATCAAGGGCCAAGATTCCAGCTGCAGATGCACGCCCACCCACCGCAGAGGTGAGGGGCGGCAAGTGCTCCAGGTGGCCGACATGCTTCTCCACAGTGAGTCTACGCACCTGGTTAACCTTCTCAGCGGTGGCCCTGGAAAACTCTGGAATGGGTCCAAAAGTCTTTAGGACATGTTTCATGCCTTCGCTGTATCTGTCGCAGTAGCTTAACATACCTGGAATTGCATGAAGACAAGAATTCACAATCTCAGAAAAAACATTCTTAGTTAAACCCAGAAATGCATTCAGAGAGTTTTACCCTGGGGTCAGATAAGCCATACTCCTCCCTCCCTGTGAAGACAAGACAGAGCTGGGGAATGTGTGTGGGCCTGCTGGCACCGGAGAAGCAACCCTCCCTATTACCCACTGTCCACACTGGCTCCTGGGTGTTCCAATGTCAAAAAGTGCTGGGCCTGGCTGGGCATGGTAGCTCATGCCTGTAATCCTAGCACTTTGGGAAGCCAAAGCGGGTAGATCACCTGAGGCTGGGAGTTCAAGACCAGCCTAGCCAACATGGTAAAACCTCGTCTTTACTAAAAACACCAAAAAATCAGCCAGGTGGCATGGCTGGTGCCTGTAATCTCAGCTACTTGGGAGGCTGAGGCAGGAGAATTGCTTGAACCTGGGAAGCAGAGGTTGCAGTGGGCTGAGATCACGCCACTATACTCCAGCCTGGGCAACAGAGCGAGATTCCATCTCAAAAAAAAAAAAAAGTGCCCGGTCCCTCAGACCTCGCATGCCACCTCTGCTGGTGCATCTCACGATCGCACGGGACACTCCGGTTGGCCCGCGTTCACACACGGATTTGTTGGCTACCACAGTAAGTCCTAATGTCACCAAAAGTGTTTCCTCCAGCCATGTACGGGGTTATCTGTGTAGAACGCTTAAACGCATTTTCCAAGAACTAAAGATGTCAGATCTCAGGTAAACCCGTCACTTATTTCACTGTTAGGCCACACATCTGTTAGCACTGAGCTGCTGTGAGCCGAGATAGCATCTCCGCACTCCAACCTGGGTGACAGAGCGAGACCCCACTGTTCTGGGTACGGTCAAGGCTGCAGGCACTTGAAGCACTGGCTGGAGAGCTCATGTTGGCTTGTGCCCTGCTGGTTTGGGTGGATGGAGCCAGGCGCTCGGCTGCACAAGCCCCCATGGACGCTCCCCACGCTCCTGCTGCTCCCCAGCCTTGGGGAGCCATGATTTCTCAGATTCTAAGGAGAGGGCCCTGGGACTTTGGTGAAGAGACTTATCCTGGAGGGAGAGGGAGGGAGCAGCACGGGCTAGGCTGACTGCGCAAGAATGGGGTGCGCCAGGGGAAAGCGCAGGCCAGTCAGGGCCCCCACCCGGCACCAGCCTGCCCCGACCCGCAGGGCCGCAGACTCACCCTCCCTCACATTCCTCCCCTCCCTGCTGCCGGGGGGCGAATGCGCCGGTGCCGGCCTGTGCTTAGCAAGTCAAGTCAGAAGCCCGGGCCGGGATCCTGGAAGGGGAAGAGGCGGCGTTTCTAGTTCTGGGCGCCATGGAGGACACAGGCTGGGCTACTGCCGCCACCCTGACCCGTTTCCCACATCTTTCAAACCCTTAAAGGCTCAACAACTGGCCAGTCCGCCTACAACGATAACACGCGGACAAAGGAAGCCGCAGAACGTGCAGCGCCTGCCCCAGCTCAGCTTCCCATTCCCCACAAAAACTGTGGATGATCAACTTAAAATACGAACCATCAGTACTAGATACGCTCAAAAAGCAAAAAATAAACAAACATCATCTTTGGGGTTTAGTTTTGATTGACCTGTGCTGATGTGAAAGCCTGAAATCACTGGGTTGCAATGTATTTGCTTCAAATAGTTCTTCCCTCTCAGTGTGCTAAAATTTCCCCCAAAATGGTTCTGAATGGTGAACGACTCAAACACACCAACTTTTCTGACATGCGCACCTGAAATTAACGGATGGGTGCTCTGTTTGTAAAAGAAGGGGTTTCATCTCATTTAACCTGTGCTGATTTGGCAGTGCAGAATTCTGGAAGGCTCTTGAGCGTTCCAGCACTGCACAGGTACTGGAGGTGGCTTAGCGTTTCTGGAGAACAGAAAACAACCTATACATTTATTTCATTTGGGAAATTATTTACTTCACTTTTGCTAGTTGTTTATGTATTAAAACGAAAGGAGACAAATCTAGACACAAATAACAGTTTATTCTTTCCTTTTGGGGTGAGGGGCAGAGACACAAGAATCAAGTTGAAAATATATTAAATTAGAAGAAAATGGAAAGAATGGCTATGGCTGCATATCCCCGCCTTGCAGGCAGGCAGGCGCCCTCACAAGACCGCTCATCAGCCGGTTCCATCTCCCTCTCCTACCAGAGCAGCAACAGGCCAGGGGTTCAGTTCACACAGCACTTGCCCTCTGGAACACGTCACATTCTCTGAGCAAGTGTTCATCTCCCCCTGTCCTGTGAAATCATTTGAATCTCCCAGGAGCTTTCTAGAACTTTCTTTCCTTTCTGCTTTTGTAAAGTTTTAAAGGGACATCTATTTCTACAGAACAGAATAAAATGCTTTATAATAAAGCTTTAAATGCTGGAATTCATGATAGTGCAATTCATACTTTTCCCCATTTTTATTCAGGAAACCCTTTGAAATGTCAGTCTTAGTGATATAAAAACTTTTTGTAACATGCTGTTGGGACGAAGAGCCCTCACTGTCTGTGACAAAGTTCAGGCTCCCACACCATGTGCTCACTATGAGATGGGTGCAGCCTCCGGGTGCTCCAAGGGCAGGAGTTCGCTGTGACTTAGACTCACGACCTGCATCTGCCTGATTATTTACAACCATGTTCCAGTAAACTTATGACTGTGATTGTTCTTTGCAACTCCCCCCCTTCCATTTTAGGGAGGTATAATTTATTTTCAACAATTATTTTGGTTTCTCTACACCATAAGAGGGGAATTGGGTGCAAATTACTCTAAAATGCCAATTTCTTTGGAAATAGGAAAAACACAACACAGCCCACGTCACTTTTGATCCCCCTGGTCTGCCCTTCCCCACGATTTCTATCGAATCCAGCCTCCCCTGTATTTTTTCTTCTATGCTTCCATGCCCTCTGTCCTTCTGAGTTCTAATTCTTCCAAAATCCTTGTACAGCTTGGCTTTTTAGAAGATTCTGAACCTAATTTCTTAAGAGATGCTTATCCAGAAAAAGAAAAAAAGTAGAAAAAAGAATTGATTCTCGTGAGATTGGATGTAGCTTAACTTGCTGCTTTCTAACTTGGGAGCCTTGGGCTGTGGGCCTCTGAGAACAGCGGGTTTGAGTGAGTGCCCAGGTGCACAGGCAGGAATCCTTTCTGTTCCCATGTATGGAGCAGGCACCAGAGGAGGCCTTGACCCCAGCCCGAGGCCACAGCCACTAGGAGGGATCAGACATCAGCTCCTTGGAGAGCCCTGATTGCCACCCATACCGGGAAGTCTGGCTTTCCTTCACACAGCTGTGAACCCATACCTATGTGAATGACCTGCTTTTTGGAGACAGGGTTTTACAGAACTCATTAAGGAAGATCAAAAATGCCTCAAAGCACAGAGCGACATTATCTCATTCCTCCTCTCAGGATCAAATTCCCACCTGAGTGAGGACTTGCCCAGGGTAGGGGAGGCAGAACCGACCTGGGCCCCTCACCTTACCTCACCAAGTCCCCGCCCATCGGCTCACCTTCTTCCACTGGCTGGCAAATAATCACTTCCCGGTCAATCAACCAAACCCACTAGCCACCAGGCATCTCAGTTTTAACAAAGGCAAGTGTCTACACAGGAGAGGAAATCTGTGAGGCAAAATGGTAAATAAAGATCCACTTCCCATGGAGGTGATTTCCACGCTGCCAGATTCTGAGATGTCCTCATTTCAAGCAGAACAAAACGCAGGAGGAACCCAAACAGCCCCAGGGACAAGACAGAGCAGTTCGTCTCTCTACTGACCTGTGAGTCTAAAGCTTAGCAAAGAAATAAACCAGGCTGGGAAACTCTAGGTACCTGGCTCTAGAGGCTTCTCCATGCCACAGCAAAAATCCTAATCTGTATTTATTCCTCTCTCTGCACTTGTGAATCTTTTTGGAAGAATTTTAAAAACTAAAAATAAAACAACAACGAAAAAAAACTAGAAAGGTAGTACATGAAACAAACAAGACAAAACTCTATTTGAATACATGTATTAAGGACTTAATAGGTGCCAGCAATCCAGCTAAGAGCTTCCATCTGGTTCGATTCTCACACCACCCTGAGGAAGCAGTTACTGTTGTCCCCATTTCACAGATGGGGAAACTGAGATGCAGTGAACTTAAGTCACTTGCCCAAGGTTATACAGCCAGTAGGCTGGAAAGCCAGGGTAAGGAGTCGGCCCACTGGCTCCACAGGCCAGAACCACCATTCTGAGGGCAAGTCCTTTGGGGTGTTGTTTGTAAAAGGAGCCAAAAGGCAATGGCACGCTGGCCTCCTGTTTCTCAGACACTATTTCATTAGATTAAAATAAATCCTAAAATATCTGCACTAGTTCTAGATAAATGGTAGCTTTTCAGGCTAATAACTATCCTTAACCTGAGATGCTGGCTTTATGAAAACAGTATCAGAAAAGAAAAAAAATTCTCCCAACTCCAATCTTGATATATTCTGGGTGACACAGGGAAGAATGATGAACATTTCCATGGGTTCCCAGCCAGATCTTATAATTCTCCAACTCTGGTCTTTGGAATGCTCTGAAGTTGAAAACTACATCCGTCCACCATTATCATATGAAGCCAATTAGGTTTTCTTATCATATCTGCTTTGTTTGAAAAACTGTTATGGGCCTCCTTCCTGTCTGCCACTCTATTTGATTCTTGAGTTTCTGGTTTCATTGGCTTCTGTTTCTATTTGTTTGAAAGTCAAAGCTGTTCTCAGTTCTGTCCCTATCTATTTATTATGATACCTCAATTATCTTATTTTTCTCAAGAAGAAAAAAAAAAACAAAGAAAAACACAGTGGTTATCAGGCAGCGTCTATATACATTTCAAATGTATAAATTTCTATACATTTCAAATGCTTAAATATATATACAAATCTAAATACATATCCAATGCTTAAATACACTCACAAGTTTTGAGGTTCTGGTTGAAAACACCGTTTGAAATGGTCTAAGACTTTGTGTTAATAATACAACAAGACTCTTGTTTCATTGCATGAGGCCGTCTTTCTCTACATTATCTTCCTCTATTCAGTGGTTATCTTCCCATAAAACTAACACACAAGTGCTGGAGCAGATTCCCCTCTTCCCTCCACTCCTCTTAGCTCCTCTTAGCTTGATTCTGATAAGGACTGAAGCAGAGAACACACGGCCCATCCACTTCAGAAATCATCTGTGCACCTGCTATGTGCAGGAACATGTCTAGTAAAGCTGCCTTGAATTATTCATCAGACAGCATATTTCATTAACTACTGTGAAAACTGACTGAACTATTACCAAAATGTAATACTGAAATTATAGAACTGAAGTCAAACAGACTGAGAGAGGTCACAAACTCTTAACCTTCCCTCTCACGGAGGGAGCTTCCTCTCAACATCTAAACCTCCCACAGGCAGGCAACCAAGTCCCCTGCTCAGTTACCCACTTAAAGCATGGACCTTTCCTGGACATCAGCTCCTGTTACTAGAAAGTTCTTCCTGCCATGTACTGAGCCCAAACCTGTCTGTCTGCTTGCCATTTCCAGTCTTTCACTCCACTTCCACTCCACAAAAGATACAGACCGAGAGACATACAAGAGATCTGGTCACTTTTTTCTAGATAAGCCCCAGCTTCTCAGTATCCTTTGTTAAATGCAGACCATGGAGCTGCAAACAATAGTTCTTTTCTCTTTCTATACGTTTTCCAAGTTAGTAATATTATTATTAATCTATAGTAGCTGTAGAAATATATAACACAGACAAGCAAAAAGATACTAAAAGTTACTTACAATCTCAGTACCAAGAGATAGCTGGCAATAATAACATCTAGGTTACATCTCTCTCCAGATTTTATACATAGTTTTTAAAATTTACTTTGTTCTAATTTGCTATAAGTTTTATTGGTTATCAAATGACATATTCTTTTTGGATCAATTAAAATCTGGTTGACAGAGTTTCACTCTTGGAAGCTTCTTGTCCTTCTCAAGTCGTCTTTCCTTTAGAGTTACCAGATCACAGATAATGGGCTCAGACCTAATTCCCCCCAAGCCTTCTGGAGGTGGCATCTGGCCAGTGTCTGGTCTGCCCCACCCACAGACCCCTCCCCAGCTCCCAGCCTGTGGAAGCCCTCACTATAGGCTCCCTAGCCTTCTAGAAGAAACCTCGCTCATATTTGGGCAGAAGATACATCCAGCAGAGGTCCCTGCGGGTTAAGGGTTAAGTCAGCCCCGTCTTTTCTTCTTGCCTCTGGAAATAATGTCATCATCTTCCTCAGGAAACTACCACTTTCCCTTCTGCCAGGCCGGGTGACACGCAGCGGAGTTTCCGTGACATCACCCACCTCTCTTCTTTCGAGCTCTCACCTGAGCAGAACGCACCACGCGGAGCCCTGCGGTGCACGCACTCTGCATGGACTGACATCTCAGTACACAGCGTTTCGCATCCCTGCCTTGTCTGTGAAACACCAGGGCTGGCCATCATCTCCTATATATCCCACTGTCTCTATTCAGTTGTAAGAAAAGGCAAAATGTGATGGTTTACAAAACCCATGACCACACTAAATAGAATGGGATTCCTAACCTGGCCCCAGATGCATACCTTCTGCATTGAGATGCATGGTTTCCAGGGGTCCAATGAACGCATACCGCATGCCCAGTCCTTCTGACATGACAAGGTCCAGGTCGCTAGGAGACACGATTCCTTCCTACATGGAGAAAATGGGCGGCATAGATGAGTTCTGTAAAAAGACAATTTCATGACCACCACTTCCATCCTAACTTCTTTAGAGCAGGATCCCAAAATCCTCTCCAAAGCACTACACAAGCTGAGTACCATCCATCTAATATGCTTATGACCAGAAGTGTTTTGGATGGCTGATATTTTTCAGATTTGGGAATATTAGCATATGCATAATGAGATATTTTGGCGATGGGGCCTGTGAACAAACACAAAATCTATTTATGTTTCATATACACCTAGCCTGAAGGTAATTTTACACAATATTTTCAATAATTTTGTGCATGAAATAGTTTGTGTACACAAAACCATCAGAAAAGCAAAGGTATCGCTATCTCATGTCAGTGCTCAAAAAGTTTTAGATTTTGGAGCATTTTAGATTTTGGATTTTTAGATTAGGGATGCTCAACTTATGAGAGTATTTTGATTGAATTTTGCAGGACAAAACTATAATATTATTGTATGTTATAAATGGCTTGACGTGGTGGCTCATGCCTGTAATCCCAGCACTTTCCGAGGCCGAGGTGTGGAGATCACCTGAGGTCAGGAGTTTGAGACCAGCCTGGCCAACATGGTGAAACCCTGTCTCTACTAAAAATATAAAAAATTAGCTGGGCATGGTGGTGCATGCCTCTAGTCCCAGCTGCTCAGGAGGCTGAGGCACAAGAATCGCTTGAACCCAGGAGGCAGAGGTTGCAGTGAGCTGAGATTGCACCACTGCACTCCAGCCTGGGTGTCAGAGCGAGACTCGGTCTCAAAAAAAAGTCATATATATATATAAACCATATATATATGGTTTTTGTGTGTGTGAAATGGTCAAACACAAATTCACCTTTTCCATCCCTGCAATCCACTAGGGTTTGAAATCCATTCCTCTTGACCTCCCTGCCTCCTCATCTCACCCTACAACCAACGGACAGCCTGCAGCTGCAGAGTGGGAGAGGCTGAGGACAAGGGGAGCGTGAGGAGGGGGCATCCTAGGAAAAGGGCAGGAAGGACTTTCTAGATTTCTGCCTAGGACCCGGGGGGAGTAAGATTAGAGCCATCAAAAGACGTGGGAAGGTGCTCTCCAGGCTTCACCCGCCTGCAAGTCCGGCCTTGTTCAACTTTTAATGAGTTCGTAAAAAGTGATATTCTTTGATGAAATGCAGCTTAGAACCATGGGTTTGTTTGCTAAGGTGGGGCCCTAGAATCTTCTGCAATGTAAATTTCAAAGCAAGAGGCAAGCTGTTATGTGTTGAGGTTGGACGTCTGATCAGCCACCTGTGTTCCTTGGCCTCACGTGGCTTTGGGATGGAGGCAGGGAAGCGCAGATAATGATCTGCGGCCCCTCCTGTCGGAGGATGCCTCCCCCTTGGGCATTGCCACTGCCAGGAGGGCGGGCGGAGGGAAGCCGCCACCTTTTCCCCTCCACGGCCCAGACGGGCAGCACTCCGCGGAATCCGCCGCCCCGGGTCTCATCGGATACGTCTGGGCGCTGTTTTCCCGCAGCTCGGTGGGGCAGAGGCAGCAGCGCCGGCCCGCCCGCCTGCGAGAGCCCGACGGTGGACGGTGCGGCCCGCCCTTCCCATCGCGGCCTGGGCGGCCCCGCCTGCCCTCGGCTGGGCCCGGTTTCCCTACCCCGGGGCACCTCCCCACGCGCGCACCCGCCCCCAGCCACGGCCCGGGCCGCTGGTCCACAGCGCGTCTCCCTCCCCGGGGTGCGGCAGAGCCTGTCTTTGCCCAGAGGCGTCTCGGAGCTGGGGGCCTGCTCGGCCGAGGGCTCTGCGGGGACCGGCACAGCGGCCTGCAGGGAGGCGCCCTCTGCCCTCCCGCGAGCCTGGGGCGCCTGGGCCTGCCTTCCAGGTTCCTGGGCCTCCAGGGCAGCCCCAGGGGTCCCCCGAGAAGCGAGAAAAGGGGCTCAAAACCCCCGCCGTGCCCCTTAACCGGCTCGGCGGGCGACACCCCGGTGCCTCGGGTCCGTGTGCGGGTTTAGACACCTGCGTCTGCAGAGAGCGGCTGGCGAGGCGGGAGCAGGGGCCCGGCCCGGGAACGAGGACCGCCAGAGCCACGCCACCGGCGAGGGCCAGGGCCACTCACTGGGACCCGCAGCTCCCTTTTGGACAGCCACTGTGCGTTTCGTTTTGTGTGCGCACATGGGACACAAACCTATCGAGACTGAACAAGCCACAGTCCACGTTTCCAGAAGAGTCACAAAGCAAACCCCCCGGCCTCGACCGCCGCAGACTCCCCGCTTCTGGCCCGCACCTGCCCTCTGCGGTGGCTGCTTTCCCGCTTTAGACCGGCCGCCCGTGTCCACATTCTTCAACCGCAGCATTTGCCGCTGGTCCGTTTCTCATCTTCCTGTAAACGGAATCACTGAGCGTGCGTCCTTGCGTGACTTGTCTCTCGCCACCCTGTTTCTCAGATTAGCCTGCGTCATGTGTCCATCTCCTTCATGCAGGGACCTGAGTTGACTCTCCCACCCTGCGGCCGTGGCCTGTGGCTAGTCTGGGGCTCCTGTGCGCAGGGCAGCCAGGGACACCGCACAGGGCCCAGAGCGCGCGTCTCCCCCTCGCTGCGGCCCGGCCTCCAGCACGGTGTGGAACAGGTCCCGTCGCGCCTCAGCCTCGCCACGCTGGGTGTCCTCACCCCCGCAAAGTACGGCTAATCTGGTAGGGTGAAATGGTATCTACGGGTTTCCTGCGAGTTCTAAACCACCCTACCCCATGTTCACTGTGACTGCTAAGGAAAGCGAATCAGTCCGTGCAGGTCACTGCGAAGGTGCGGAGGTCGCCTCCTTTCCTCCCAACAGCAAAGCTGTAAGGGGTCAGGCGCATCGTGGGGGTGCGGGGAGAGCTACAGAAGGCCCACAGAAACGCCCAGAACCGTCAAGAATCCTGTGTGGAACACAGGCACTGCCGCCTCCTCTCCCTGGCAGGAGGTCTGGAGGCAGGAAGGGTGGCTCCCTGCCCTCTCTCCAGGCTGCTGGAAGGCCTGGGCTGTGGCCCCTCGCACCCCCGTGGACTCTGGAATGCTCTGGAATGCTGTGAAAGGCAGCCAGGCGGCCTGCAGACTCTCCCTCAACCTTGTTTTCCAGGCCAACATTCCAAACAGCCCCAAGTGTTCATTTTAGTATTCAACCTGGGAAGTATGCAAGTATGGAAGCACCCCATCCTTGCCATGTTATTTGGCTTGGCTCTTTTAGAATCGTATTGAGTATTTTTAGAGCTGATTTTTAAAAAATCACTTTTAGGATTGCAAAATAGAAGAAAGGTGAGCTCCCCAAGAGTAGTTCCTTTTTGGTTTGTATCATCTGAGCTAACAGCCCCTGACTAATGCCTGAGAAGGGTTCTCCATGCTGCCCCATGACATGGGAGGAGCCACTTCCTCCAACTCCTGTGTTCTCAGCTCTGCCTGATTTCACCTAGAGGAGGGCTGTCGGTCTTCCATCAGTCACTAGTCACCAGCAGAACAAGCTAGAAAAGGGGAAAACGTTTTGATATTTTCCCTTTCTCACTCCTCCTTTCTGCCCATTTGAATTTCTGAAATAGTTTCTTAAAGCTTGAGTTTTTACCAAGAAGCTAAATACAGAGAAAGAAAAGGACCACAAGGCATCCGGTTGAGAAGCTCCACAACGAGGATTTCATGTCCCCAAGGCAAACATTTGAGTTTCCCCTGCTGCACTTGCTGCCGAACTAAAGCTTTCCCATATAGGATGTTTTGAAGCTCAGGTTGCTTAATTGTGCCACTGAGCTCAATTCCACCCAAAGCCTGTGACATCTGTGACCTAATATTATCATAACAATGACAAATAATCATTTGCTTATATACAAGTGGCACAGCAGTTGGGTATGTTATTGACTATCTTGCGTGTTCTCCTCCATGGATGACAGTCTTGTGGCTCCTCTCAGCCTGGGCATTTTCTCCCACCACATCAGGTGCAAAGTACATGCCCCAGCTATCCACGTGCTTATGCTGTTCGCATAAACAAGTGCTTATGTTGAAACAGGGAACTGACAAGCCATCCCTTGGAACAGGTGGCGGGCAGCACAGCTGTGTGGAGATGGGAACCCTAGCTGGGTCCAGTCTTTCTGTGGTTCCGTTAACACTGATCAGCTTAGCAATCAGTACTTACTCCATTGTATGGTAAAATTACCAAGTCACACATATAAAGAAAAGGTTCATAAAAAATCATACAAAGCAATGAACACTACGATCACTGTTATTTCAAAACCTGGTTTCAAGTCCTGAAAATTGTTGGGCAAAGAGATCCCAGACAGTGTTAAGGAACCCCTTGTATTGAAAAACTTCATACTTCTGCTTCCTTAGTTAAAACCTGAGATTTTTCCACAGTCAAGTAACATATGGATAGCTGGGGCATGTACTTTGCACCTGATGTGGTGGGAGAAAATGCCCAGGCTGAGAGGAGCCACAAGACTGTCATCCATGAAGGAGAAAATGCAAGATAGTTAATAACATACCCAACTGCTATGACACAAATATTAAATAGAATGAAAGGTTTAGGGATGTATCACTCAGGGTTCTACCAGACAGAGCCATAAGATTCACATACATACACACATACATCAAGAGTTTTATGTCAAGGAATTGGCTCATGTGACTGTGGGCCTGGCAAGTCAGAAAGCCATGGACAGGACTTCAGGAAGGCAGGCCGGCAATTCCAGGCAGGAACTGCCCACAGTCTGCAGGTGGAATTTCTCCTTCCTTAGGGAGATCTCAGTTCTGCTTGCAAGGCCTTTCAATGAACTGAATTTAGCCCACCCAGACTATGGAGAATAATTTCATTTACTTAAAGTCAACTATCTACCAAATACCTTCCCAGCAACATCTAAACTGAGTTTGACTGAATGCTGTAGCCAAATGGATGCTGTAGCCTGGCCAAGCTGACCCTCTCAGGGGACAGATGCCCTCGGGGATCTTGGATCAAGCACTTTTGTTTCTTTGTGGGGTGGTGAGAGAAGGAAG